CGTGCTTTTGCCCCCTGCCCGCAGTCCCTGCTGGATGGTGTCCAGTACGCCGACTCGTTCAACACCAACCCCAACAAGTGGCTGCTCGTCTCCTTTGACTGCTCGTGTCTCTGGGTGCGCGACCGGCTGCGCCTCACCTCGGCCCTGGTCGTCGACCCGCTGTACCTGCAGCACGGCTACTCCGAGTCCACCATCGACTACCGCCACTGGGGGGTGCCGCTGAGCCGGCGCTTCCGCGCCCTCAAGCTGTGGTTCGTCATGCGGACGTATGGCATCGAGGGGCTGCGCCAGTACATCCGGCACCACATCAAACTGGCCAAGAGCTTCGAGGCCCGGGTGCTGAAGGACCCCCGCTTCGAGGTCTGCAACGAGGTCAAGGTCCGTGTCGATGGCAGTGCATAGTTTTGCCGATTTATGCGACCCTGGTCACGAGAACTCCTTTTCCACTCTCCAGCTCGGCCTGGTGTGCTTCCGCCTGCGGGGCACGGACCAGCTCAACATGAAGCTCCTCAGCAGCATCAACGCTTCAGGGCGGCTTCACATGGTGCCCGCCACCGTCGTGGACAAGTACATTATCCGGTTCTGCGTCACGGCTCAGAATGCCACGGAGGAAGACGTGGGTGAGTACCAGCCGCTGCCCCGCCCCGATGAGTATTGTCAGACGCGGGCCTGTGCACCGGGACTTTTGGTTCCAGAGCACGCCTGGCAGGTCATCACGGAGGTGGCCTCGAGTCTCCTCGGCGAAATGAACGGCGAGCCTCCGGAGATCATGGACGACCGCAAACGGCGCGAGACGCTGGCCTACAAGCGGTCCTTCTTCGTGCGGATGGTGTCCGACCCCAAAATCTACAACCCCAAGATCGCCAAAGCGGTGCCCGGTCAACGGCGGCTAGTCTCTTCCGAGGCTGACATCGAGGACATCGAGGAGGTCGAGAACGACGAGCCGGAGGTGGAGAGCGCCAGCAACATCACCATACAGAAGCCGATGTAAGTGTGAGGAGCCCCTGTGGACCCGGGGGTAGGCAGTCCCGCCGCGCACGCCTGCTCGGCTCGGCGGCCCACGCTGCAGGCGACCTTGCCTCTCGCGCGCCCGCACCGACTCACCACTCACCGCAAACCCTTTTGCTGTTTCAGCGCGACGTGGATCAGCTGGCCGCTCGAGTTCCTGTTCCAGGGCGTGTTCGACGAGGCTCACCACGCGGAGGTGCCGGTGAGGTGAGTGTCGTCCGGCTGGTGTCCGGCCGCTGCCCCGCTGGGGCCCTCCTCCACCATCACACACACCCATTCTCGTGCTGTTGTGCCGTTGTGTGACAGTCATCGTAGCCTCTGCGACAGGTTCCGCCACCTGGACACCATGGTGCGGCTCAAGGCGCGGCGCGGCAGCTCCTCGCCCTCGCCAGAGTACGAGCCTCGCGACGACAGCGGGGGCAGCGGCGGCAGCGGCAGCGTGTCGCCTACCTCCTCCACGGGGCCCGCGCCTCCCCAGCCCGCCATGCTGGTCGCCGTGGCATCCCCGAGGCGGTCGCCCGCCTTCCCGCGCAAGCTGCACTTCGGACGGTCCAGCCAGCAGGCTGGTCAGGAGCTCGACAAGGACACCAAGTAGAGTGCACGCCTCGCCAGCCGCGTGCCACTCCGCCCGAAACCATTGATTGAATCTGTGTAGAGTAATTGGAGTGGTGTTCTAATTTTAGCTCGTAATTTAATTCTTCGCGATAGTGTCGCTTCCATAGAATTAATCTGCTCTTTCTTCTGGAAGTCATCATTACACAGTAGGCGATTGACTGGTGAGTTGAGTATAGTTGATAGTTACAATTTTGAGTAGTTTTAGGATGTTTTGTCCAATTCCTTATCTCATTTCCTAGTTCAACTAGACTGTAAGGCAAAAAAAAATATTTTTAAAGCTGCATCGGGAAATGTATTTCTTGGCTTTATTTTTTAATATCCGACTAAAAACTTAATGTTACTCCACATTATTCGACAACAGTGTATTTTAACAGAGTGTTCTTGCCGTTCCTCTCTAAATGGTGCTACACTGCATTTGGTGGCGCGATTAGATACCGACTACATTGCAGCTGTTTGTCCGATTTTGCTGTCTGGAGTGTCTCGGAGCCGGTCGTCAGTTATGTCGCCGCTTTCCGAAGACCAAGGCAAGATACAAAATTGGTTATTGTTTTGTTATTATGAGTTGGTTAGCATTTAGAGAACATTGCCTCATTATTTTGAATTGTGTCACCATTGTGAAAAGTTGAACAGTGTTAAATAATAATTCTATTACATGAAACGACTACTTAACTTATTTATCATTGTGGTGAATAGTGGGATGAAAAAAGTCAACGTTTCGACCAAAAAAAAAGTCCGAGCCGCAGAAGTGTTGTTTCCATATTTTGATATGTTTTGACTATCGATTAGGCTGTCAGTCACCGGCTAGAAGTTCCCAACACTCTGACTTCATGTCCGTTTGCACACAGTAGCTCCAACCTACACGGCCACTCGTGCATTCAAGTGTGAGTGCCACCCCCACCCAGACAAAGACAATCAAAAGTGGAAGTACGCTCGTTCACCGCGCAGTGGTCGCTGGAACAGCCGCATCGAATCACCATTGTCAGAACGAACTCCCGTACCTGTCTTTGCCTATCAGATGTACACGTTGGTATCAAGATGAGTGGAGACATGCCACGTCCCTGTTTGTAGCTACACGATTGTAGCTACAGCCGACAGTGACCGAGTCAGCTTAAACTGAACCGTCTATAGACGAATTCATTACTTCCGCCAATGCTAGAATATCAATCAGAAGTAAACAGCGCTAAAAACTAAAGCGAAAACGAAATATATCAATGCCTCTCCGAAGCTCTCACCTAGTCCAAGCACTCGGGGGGTAGGGGGCCGCGACGCGGGGGGCCCGATTCAGGAAAGCATTGCCTACCCTCCAGGCGTTTTCAGCGACAATC